TTGGCCTCCCATCATCAGCATTCCACAATTTGATCTACTCCTTGTCCCTGGGTCAATTACCCCAGGCAGTCCCCTGAATGGTTCTTGTTTTTGTTTTTGGAGAGGTTTTTTTTTGCCATAGGGCGCGTGTGCTCCCCAGACAGACAGACAGAGACACAGAGAGACAGAAAGTGAGAAATCACCCCCCAAGGGGGGGATAGCCACGCTGCAATCCCTTCTCCTCCATTCTCCTCTCGGGATCTTGGGCACGCACACACACGTGCCTGGCGTGAGTTTTAAGCCACCGGGTCCAGGGCATGAACCGCGGTCGACTACGTGGGAGTCCAGTGACATAGCCATTACGCCAACTGCTGGTCCCAATGGTTCTTCCATCTACCTTGTCACATTGTCTCCCCACCAGAACACAAATTCCCAAGGGCAGGGCAGAATCTCCAAATCCATCAGCAGTGGCCTGGCACAATGCAGCTGAAAGAGCACGAGGGAGCAGGGGGACAAGACTCAGGGTTAGTGTCTGTGCATAAGATGAGGGGCAGGCAGAAGCCCCAGTCTTCCCTGCAGCACCATAATGAGTAAATCCTTTCATGGGACTCCAGGTCGCAGACCTCTGACTTGAAGACATGCTGGCTGAAGGAAGTGGCTAGCAGGTGTGCACATGCCCAGGGTATTCAGTGTCCTGAGTCCTCTAAGGCCAACAGGCAGTAGTAGCCACTGAGGAGAAAAGCAGAAAAGTCTCCATCTTGACAATTTGCTTCAGTCCAGCCTCTGAAGCAAACACTAGGCAGCAACAAGGGAATAGGCTGGTGTGATGTGAAATCATGTGCACTTCCCTGACCTCTGGGGCCCCCAAGATCTACATTCATCAAGGAGAGGTCTGGGCATCAAGTCCTGGAATAGACGGGAAGACTGGCTCAGCTGGGGAACCTGGGTAGGAAACTTCCCTGGGTAGGTGTTTTGGGTCATAAGTGATTATAGAGAAATAAATGAGCAAACTCTTAATTCACTTGATGCAACAGATTTTGCAGTCAATGTTGAGCTTCCCAGAGCTCTTTGCCTATAGGGTCTTGTAGGGTAGTTTTTATGCTCTTGGCCAGTCCACACTACTGGACTGAAACAGAACCACAAGCTGTCAGGGCTGTGAATATATACCCCTGCTCCACTGTGACACTACTGCTTAAATGGAGGGCCAGGGGAGTTCAGGTAGACACTGGACAGCAGCCATTGGACATTTTTTCACCTGCATTAGTTTTGTAATTATTATCTAAACAATTTGAGCCCTTCAAATTATTTGTAAAGTAGCACCACTATGTAAACCATAAAACTTAGTCATGACTGGGACTAGCAATTAGCATAATGGCTATGTCGCTGGACTTCCACCTAGTCGACCGCGGTTCGCGTCCTGGACCCAGTGGCTTAAAACTCACGCCGGGCACGTGTGCGTGCATGCTCAAGATCCCGAGAGGAGAAAGGAGAAGGGATTGCAGCATGGCCATCCCCCCTGGGGGGTGATTTCTTGCTTTCTGTCTCTCTCTGTCTGTCTGGTGAGCACACGTGCCCTATAGCAAAAACCTCTAAA